GCTTTACTTTTGTCATGGCTGGATGGGAAGGAAGCGCCCATAATAGTCGTGTTTTCAAGTTTGCTACCAGAAACTTGAGACATGGATTTTCGTACCCACCTCTGGGTAAATACTATTTGGTTGATGTTGGATATCCATTACAAAGGGGATATCTAAAGCCCTATCTAGATACAAAGTACCACATTCCTGATTTTGAAAGATCTAGTGGTGTCGCACGAGGTAAAAAAGAGGTTTTTAACAAAAGACACTGTTCATTGCCCGACGTAATTGAAAGAGCGTTCAGAGTGTGGAAGAAGAAGTGGGTCATATTACGGCATATGTCGTCCAATCCTTTTCCAAAGCAAGTACAAATAGTTGTTGGCACAATGGCGCTACACAATTTCATCCGACGCCACCCTTCCAGATCGGATACGAAGTTTGCCATTTTAGAAGATGAGTCAGTGCAAATCCCACCTGAAGCATTTGAATATCATGTGGGACGTTCAATACATGAAGGGTTTGGTTTAGAAGATGCATGCACTCGAGAGGGTGAAGGTGCATACGAGATGCCGACTTTACGAGAACAAATAGCAGATGATATTCACTGGTCATGATATCAGCAAAGACATAATATACATTTTGTCTTTTTTTGAAGGCATATTGTTGGTAGAGCTTACCTGTCACGAGCTTTGATTTATGCAAGGGTTTTTAACGGATTTATTTTGTTAGTTTGTGTCTTTATTAATATAACAAGATGGTTTATTAACAAGATGATTAAGGTGCAAACACTATTGTGTGTTTATTAATGGCATTTAATATGATTTCTTCTCCTTACCTAGAATATTGCAAAGTTTCCGATGGCTGTTTTTTTAAAGTATATGGTGTGCTTGATGGGGAAGTTGTCTTCATATAGGGGAAGCCTTTATACTGATTGTTGGGCTAGAATGCAAGACACCTTTTGTAGTGCTTATTGTCCTTCTGAAACAAATCAATTGTATAAAAACTGATTGTTGGGCTACCCTTTTCCATTAATGAGCATTTTTATCTAGCTCCTGTAGATCTAGTAATTAAGTAACATGCATTCATATTAATGTGCATAAATAAATGAGTGGAACAATGCATAAGCTCATTTATTAATAATTCAAGCTTTCTAAATGCCATGTAATATTGTTTGGTTTTTAAATCAAATTGATGCCATTTTGCGGGTACTTAGAGATCTGCCCACTTTTCTATGTAATGGCAAGAGAGTAGCTTGGACGGCTTATGGCTTTGAGGGTAACCACCACTTTTATGAGCCACTGGTCGAATGTTTTATTTTATGGAACAAAGATGAATATGAGCTTGAACATGTTTTTACATAACATCTAAACTTCAATTTTTACACATGCTATTTTTCCTATGCATAAAAAGGCATGTTTCCTTTTTCAAGTCAAATTAGAGATTTTAAAAGTGATTTTTTTATGGCCAAAAGGATTGTTCATCGTGATGCTGTTTCTAATTTGGTGGCATTTTTGTTCAAAAATTATTGTGGCAGATAATAGCCCAAATAAATAAAGGGGCATTTACATATATATACTGCCAAATTTCTATGTATTTAGATACATAACATCTAAACTTTATTTTTTACATTTATTCCATTCAAATCTTTCAAATCACCTTTTGGTGTCAATAGCAATGTCTCGTAGCGTTAATTCCTACTTGTGAATTTTGGGGCATATAATGTCAAAATTTTCTTTATTAAATCCTACTTGCAACTGCAACAACCTTAACTTGTGTCATAGCAATTCATCACGAAATGAGATCTTTCCCCACACAATTGGAGTGTTTGATTGCTTTTGCTGGTAGTTTTCAGATTTTAATGCTTCTTTGATATTCTATCGCATTGGCCCTAAGTCTTTGTCGATGGCAAGAATAAAAAAGACGGGACTTCTTGATGAAACAAAATTGATGCCATCATGGGTTATTTTCTAACTTTTTAATGTTCTTTAGGGCTACTATCTGCTGGGTTGAGCAGTCATATGAAGCACCATACCATAAGGCGTGTGCAACTGTTGTCTTTGTCAATGTCAAGAGTAAAAAATATGGGACTTCTTTATGAAACAAAATTGATGTTATTTATTTTCTACATTTTTGATGTTCTTTAGGGCTGCTATCTACTGGGTTGAGCAGTCATAAGATGCACCATACCATAGATTGCGATTTCAAGTTATCTGAAATAAAATATATGATGTGCTGTTTGAGTAAGACATGGAAATTTGATTGTTTTTTGTGTTATATATTTAAATTGAAAAGTATGGGTTTTATCTTGTACTTTGATATTTGAGTGAGATTGTTAGAAATGATTGAGGAAAAGTGCTAGTTTTGTAAATATTAATGTTTCAGATTGCTATGTAATCACCCTATATTAATGTTTCGATGCTCCAATGCAATGTAATAAAAATAGAAAACGCTCCTCGATCAAAATTAATATAGAATTTAATACTCCAAGTCATATATGTTTTAATTCTCAATGAAAAAGATAAAAGCACAATACATCGTTAAGTTTATACTATCTAAAGTTATATGAACTTAAATATAAAACCATAAGGATTGGATTAGCATAGCACTAGCATCTGATTAACATAAAGTTTATACTGTAAAAGTTATATGAACTTAAAGTGATATTCTGTTACTTTTATGAAGTTAATAAGAGTGGTGTTAGATGCAGGTTGTCAAAGAACTCTGTTGCAACAATTGCTTCCACAATTTGGTATGTTGAGTTTTTTCTTATTCCCTCTAGTTTTTGACTGATCAACGCTTTTTATAATAATTGCAGGACAATGAGCTCGAGATATTCAGGGAAGTCAGGGAAAATGATGTGCCGATGTGGGCTATCGTCATTGCTTTTCACATCACGACATACACATAGTTACGGGCGACAATTCTACAGGTGCCCGCGGTGGGGACAAGGACCGGACGACTGCAAATTTTTCAGGTGGGCCGACAGTAGAACTATTTATACGTGCTCCCAATTGGACACAACAGTTAGGAGTTCAATAGTACCACAACGGGAGAAAGCCACATGTGGTTCGAGTTCTTCTGTTTCTACGATATCGCAGTCGAACAAGTTTGCTCAGGGTTCTAGAGTGTCAGATGCATGTGGCATGGGCCGTGATATGCTGCTACATTATAAAGTTAATATTATCATATTTCTACTTATCATTTTAACATGTTATTTTTTCTTTTTTATGGGTGCTCGTTATACTTTGTAGTAGTATGTGCATGTGCATTTAACTTTTGTATGTGTAACATATTTATTTGATGTGATCGGATATGTTTTAGTTATATAAATATAAATCAACTTTTTGGTATTTTCTTGTCTGAAAAGTGATCTTTAATTTTGTTGAGAAAAGAACAAATTCTGCTAGTGGTCTTTAATTTTGTTGAGAAAAGAACAGATTCTGCTGCACAGATTATTCATTTAATTAAAAAAAAATTCCAAATAAGCTGTTTACAAAACACACTAACCAAACAACTAAACTGCTTATTCAGAACAGGGGCAGAATGATCAATTTTTCAGAATCAGCTGTTTTCCATAAGCGCCAACCAAACAACCAAACAGCTTATCCGGATTAGCTGTTCATCAGCAAATTATCAGGATAAACCGCTTATCAGCAGAAGCTGGATAAGTTGCAGCTGCCCCAAACAGACCCTTAGTAAAAGGAGTATTTTTATTGGTTCAGGTTCACCGCCCACATCGCTACGTGCAATGAACGCACAAAATAATTTTTCTGTATGTTGGCTTCTAAAATGCAAAGAATAATCTTAATTATTATTTCAAATAATTTTTTTTTGGGAAAAATGTGTGAGCCACAACTAATTTTATTTGAAAGAAATATTAAAAAGTTAGATTTCAAATACACAAAAACAACTCAACAAGAGAGACCGTAACACTAACCGAAAAAAAACAATAAAAATCACAATAAATAAACAAACAACCAAAACAGGTTAAAAAAAACAACCAAAACAAGAGCTCAATGAGAAAGCTCAAATAAAGATCCAACAAAACCAAAGAGGTAGAATCTAACACAGTCATCTTTAGCTGACATCATCTTCAATCGAGTCTAAGCATCATTAGAAAGTTGGAAAATTACCACCTAAAAATTGATACAACGAAAATCAATAATCAAAGATGATAAAATTTTCATATTCAATCGAAGGAATAGGAGAATCTCTTGAAAATAGGTAAGACCATAACAATATGTAAAATAAAAAGACAACAAAATCACAAAATAGAACAATATCGGGAAATATAAAAATATAACACATATAAAATCAACAACAAAAAAGGAATCACTCCTTAGAAGCCATAAATAAGAGTTCAGCACTTTCCTTTGAATAAACATTAAAATTTCATTATGAATATTAAAATCAAAAGATTTATAATATTCAAACATATAGTAGAATTTTAATCAACAGTTGAAATCATCAAAGTTCAAACCAATCCCAACATAAATAGAAAAGATCAAAAATAAAAGTTTTTACTAGAAAAAGGAAAATCAAATAAAACAACATGATAAAAAAGTAGAAACAAAATTAAACAACAGAGTCGAAGCATCACCATGAAGTAGGAGAACAACCACTTGGAAGTATTAACAATGCAATCCAATGATCAAAGATGTTAAAATATGCACATCCAATGAATGCCAAAAAATGAATCTCTCCAAAATTGACGAGATCATAACAATCTGCAAAATAACAACCCAAACAAAACCCCAAAGTAAAATACTAGAAAATAGAAAGAAGAACCGACTAGTCCACAAGGAAACAAACTTACAGTCCAATTTCAAAAGAAGAAAAAATCCCAAACAAAACAGCACAGAGAAACAAAACCAACAAAAATCAAAAAGGAATCACTCTATAGAAGCCATAAAATTTACCTGCAAAAAAATAAAAGCTATTAAAGTTTTATCTAAGTATTATGAAAATTAAAATCAAAAGATTATTAATTGTCGGCGTCAAATTGGGAAAGTATATTTAATTTAAAATAATATATATATTATAATTTCGAAAAGTAATTATTTTAATTTTGAAAATACGATATCAAGCATATCTCATATAGACAATAGTTTAAACAAACGGGCACAATACCGCAAACAACGCATCTATCCCTTGGAATGAACACATTACTTACAAGTGAGACTCCATTAAATAAACTAAAGAATTTATGACATTCATTTTAGTCTGCTAAACCATTTATGTTGACTGACAAATTTTCCCTTTCTAATATGAAAGATTAGATAGATTTTTGTTATGCTGGGTTCTAAGGTTTATTTAATTGACTTTAGTCGCTTAAGATGAAATCATTTATCAAATTTTTTAAGTGACTTCAGTCACTTAAGATGTAAATAACTTTTGGGGTTTGTCTCTATAGGGAACTAACGAACTCATGTAGTATAAATCATGTCTAATTTTTATATTAGATAAGAGAACTTGTCGGCCAACATATAAAAAAAAGTTCATAAACTTAACGGGTGTCATAAACTCTTTTAGTTTATTTAATTGAGCCCGCAGATTAGTAAAGTGTTTATTCTTCGAGATAAATGCATTGCTTGTAGTGTTGTGTTTGGTCATT